ATTTTTTCTTGCGCAAGAAGGGGCAGTGTAGACAGCTCCTTCTGGCGCAAGAGCCTCTTCTGCAAAAATGGCGGCTCATTAGGTATGCAAATGAGGCGCGGCGATATTCCACGCTTAGCCTCATTTGCACATTTCTCATGCAAAAAGCTGCGCGTGTCGACATAGCCCTGGACTGGTAACTGGTTAAAAGTCAGGAAAGGGAGGGTAGGGGTAAATGGTCAGCTCTCAGACTGCAGAAAGGTAAGGAGTGGTGTCCCCCAAGGTCCCTACTAGGACCAGTCCTATTCAACCTACTAATGATTTGGAGAAAAGGGGGTAAACAGTGAAGGGGCAAAAATGTGCAGATGACACTAAACTGCTCAACATACTTCAGACCAAAGCAGACAGTGAAGAGCTTCAAAATTATCTCTCAAAACTAGGTGATCGGGCAACAAAACGGCAAATGAATTTTAACACTGATAAATGCAAAGTAACGCACAATGGAAAACATAATCCCAGCTATACATACGAAATGGTGGAGACTAATGGAGCTATAACCTGTCAAGGGAGTGCTGTTGCTACACTTCAAAGGCGGAGGCACCCGATCAACTAATCGAATAGTCAATGCAAAATGCATCGACTATTCGTTTAGTCAGTTACTCGATATTTAACATCCTTGGGATATGATAGAGGTTGATAAAATCATGACAGGTGTGGAGAAGGTGAATATTTACTTGGTTCCATAACACAAGAACTAGAGGTCACCAAATGAAATTAATGGGTAGCAGGTTCAAAACTAATAAAAGAAAGTTCTTCTTCACACAGCGTGTAGTCAGCCAGTGGAACTCCTTGTCAGAGGATGTTGTGAAGACCAGGACTTTAATAGGGTTAAAAAAAACAAACCCCTAGATAAATCCACAAAGGTTAGGTCTATAAGTACTTATTATCTGGGATGGTTAGGAATGGTGTCCCTAGCCTCTGTTTGTCAGAGGCTGGAAATGGGTGACAGGGAAGGGATCATTTGATGATTCTGTGTTCTGTTCACTCCCTCTGGGGCACCTGGCACTGGCCACTGTTAGAAGACAGGATACTGGGCTAGATGGACCTTTGGTCTGACCCACTATGGCTGTCCTATGAACTTGCTTGTTCTGTTCCTGCCACTCCCCGTCAGTCCTTCCCCCTCCATCCTTCACTCTTTCAGCTGGCTCAGGAGGGTTGGGTGCAGGCATGGGTCAAGGCTGGGGGGCTACAGGCTCTGTGGTGGAGGATGTGGGATCTGGAGTGGGGCCAGAAATGGGAGGTTCAGGGTGCAAGAGGGGGCTCCAGGCTGGGGGTGGAGCAGAAAGGTTTGGGGTATGGGAGGGGGTTCTAGCCTAGGGCATGGTGTTGGAGCGTGGAGAGGAAATACAGGCTTTGAGGGGTTCAGAGTGCAAGAGAGGGCTTCAGGTTGGGTCATGGGCTTGTGGGGGAAGGGGTTGAGGCCTGCAACCCTAGCCAGGACCTCATTCCCTCACAACCCAACCACCAGTCCCAGCCCTGATTCACCTCCTGTCCTCCAAGGTCTTTTATCCCAGACTGGGGCACCTTCCCGCACCCCAAACCACTCATCCTCAGCCCCTACCCCAGAGCCTGAGCCCTCTCGCATGCTCCAACCCCT